CCCGGGCACAGCTTCCTCCAAAGCCACCTCCCAAATCCTGCCACTTCCAGGCCATTAAAAGATCACCGCCACCCCCACCCCAAGGGAATGGCAAACCCTTATCCTGTTCAATGTGGTGGTGAGTATGCCTCCAGGCACCCCAATTTCCCAAGCCTTTCCCCATGTTTCCCACCGCTCCCATTCCACAGGCCCTGGACCTCTCTGCCCCACCACAGCCCAGACTCTTCTGGAAGGACTGCCTCACAGTGGCGGCAGTACCAGGCCTGGGGGAGGCGTCAGGAGACAGGGCTCGGGCCCAGCACTACCACAGCCCACCTGGAGATCTGTGGTCCCAACTCATCTGCTCTCTGAGCCTTAGCTTGCCTCCCCTGCAAATGAGAAATCATACCTACCCTTGCTACCTCGGTTGATGTGACAACCAGATGAAATAATCAACGAGACAGCATTTCAAAATGCAGAAAGCACCTGAGCTCCTAGACAGCTGGTAAAAAAGGAAAATGGTCCAGACACTGCAGGCTTCTGAAAAATCTCTTGTCACCATTCTCCCCCTACATTCTTTGCATCTTTAGTTTGTAGTCACACCGTGTTCCTGTCTCCAGAAGGCATGTTCCAGTTGTCTTGTATAGAAACTTACTTTGAGTGTACAATATGGCCAGGTGTTGGAGAGATTAATTAAAATAATTTTTCATTACTTACCTGCAACATAAAAGGTTTAATGATGAGTCCAAAAAAGGAATCCCAGGCCACTCTTGTTTGGAAGCGAGAAGCCGGGGAACCTGCTGTGTATCTCACTTGTCAAAGCAGAGTCATTGCCCGGCTTTTGGGTTCTGCCTGATATCTGCTCACAGGACTGGCTGGTTGGTTCTCCTTATCTGCGGAATTAACAGAATGTTTAACCAATATTAAAAACTGAAATACAGACCAGGCACGGGAGCTCACGCCTGTAATCCTAGCACTTTGGGAGGCCAAGGTGGGACGATCGCTTGAGCCCAGGAGTTCTACACCAGCCTGAGCAACATGACAAAACCCCATCTCTACAAAATAATAATAATAATAATAACAAAAATTAGCCAAGCATGGTGGCGCCTATAGTCCCAGCTACTCAGGAGGCTGGATGGGAGGATCACTAGAGCCCAGGAAGTGGAGGTTGCAGTGAGCCCTGATCGCACCACTGCACTCCAGCTTGCATGACAGAGTGAGACACTGTCTCAAAAAAAAAAAAAAAAAAAATACAGTTGACCCTTGAACAATGTAGAAAGATTGGGGGCACCAACCCCTGAATTGTTGAAAATCCACATACAACTGTCAGTTCCCCAAAAACTTAACTACTAATGGGGTACTGTTGACCAGAAGCCTTACTGATGAAAAACAGTTGATTCACATATATCGTGTGTGTTATTTGTATGATATATTGTACTCTTACAATAAAGCTGAAGAAAAGAAAATGTTATTAAGAAAATCGTAAGAAAGAGAAAATCTATTTGCTACCCGTTAAGTGGAAGTGGGCCATCATAAAGGTCTTCATCTTCACAGTCATCTTCACATTGAGTAGGCTGAGGAGGAGAAGGAAAAGGAGGGGTTGGTCTTTCTGTCTTGGTGTGGCAGAGGTGGAAGAAAATCTACATATAAGTGGATCTGTACAGTTCAAACCCATGTTGTTCAAGGGTCAAATATGTATGTGTGTGTGTGTTCTCTCTCTCTCTCTCTCTCTCTCTCTCTCTCATCTCCTCAATTGCCCTTCATTCACTTTTTTTAATCACATATATCAACGTTTGAACTACCAAGTCAGTTTTGGGAGGTGACATACAAATGCAAGGCCTCATACCAGAGAGCTTTAATAAAGTTAAGGGTGATTTACGAGAGGTAACTCCAGCCCACCTGGAACAAAATCATACTGACGAGAATCCTATGGTCCAGGCAAGACCACAACACTGCCAGGCAGAGGAGGATGCCCCCAGGCCCTGCACGCTCTCCAGGGACATGCCCCCAGCCCTGCAGCTGGGTAACCTCCATGCTCTGTCTCCCACAGTGATTGATCACTACACCAGTCAGATCGTCTTCAATGGGGTCCGGGTCATCGCCATCATCATCATCGGCCTGGGTTTTCTCCTCCTGCTCCTGCCAGAGGAGTGGGATGTGTGGTTGATCAAGCTGCTCACCCGCCTCAAAGTGAGGAAGAAGGAGGAGCCTGCAGAGGGCGCTGCCGACCTGAGCTCAGGACCTCAGAGCAAGAACAGAAGAGCCCGCCCTTCCTTCGCCCGCTAACACCACTCCTCTAGAACTCGGTGGTAATGACTGGGAGGTCTATTCCTGCCGGGAGGAACCTCAGTTGGGTAAGGTGTACATACCTGTACAGTTTTGGTCATCTGCGGTAAGTTCTATGGTATTTATTGGCATGTCCAATTTGCTTGCACTTTTCCACATCAGACCTTCCACTAAAGGGTACCAATTCAATACAAAAGAGAAAAGAAGAACCTCTCAGTGCTTTTCCAACGAATGTAAAGTGGGTTTAAAAGATCCCTGCATAGATCGTTTTGGATGGCTGACGTTCTTGACAAGTCAGGGCAAGTGTTTAGAATCTTAGCAACTGAACATGACATTGTACACTGTGATTATTTTTCAGCTATGGTAGGTCATATTTTGTTTTATACCAGAGCTGTACTCTTAATTTTAAGGAGTTTCAATGAACCAAAAGATAACTGTCAATTTATTTGGATGGATGGATGGAGGGATGGAGGAAGGGAGGGAAGGATGTCTGGGATGTGAAGAGGCAAGGCAGAAATGGATGATGAACATCAAAAACTATCAGAGGACAGGTCTGTGCCAGGTACCAGGAAGGACAAGATAAGTCCAAGCCCCGGCTGGCCTGCTCTCATGTGTCTGTGTAAGATCGTGCAAGAGAAATCACAGTGCCTTCTACAGAATTTTCGTCTTTACCTATGTGAAGCGAGGTGACGTGATACGTCACTGGCGCCGTCTTATAATTTAGATGTAAAAATCTTTAGAAACAAATAAAACTCTATATATATGTGTATGTCTGTGTACAAAAACGACAGAGCTGATGGCCAGTGTATACGGAGTGTGGTCCAGGGTGTACAATACCCATGTAAGGTACCTTGTGCAGGAGGGGAATTGCTGGCTGCTTTTACTTCCTGACCAAGACTGAAAAATTATTTACTGAAATCTGTAAACCTTTTTATGAAACTTTTAAGCACCAGGCTGTTTACTTACACAATTTAGGTCTGCCAGAAAATTCTATCTGTGATAGATCTGTAAAGAGGGTCAGGGGTTAGAGTTTACTATTTTTGAAGTTTACATTGTTACATATGAAATGGAAACATTATTTTGAAATGTTGTCATAACCCAATGGTGCATTCTGTAACCATGGAGTCTTTTGTTTCCTGGGGGAAAGGGGCATTCATGACCTGAAGTTTTTAGCAAATTATTATTCTCAGTTTCCATTACCTGTTTGGCCAAACAGATTAATAAAATATTTGAAAAAGAAGCATTCAGTGCTGTCTTGGTGGCCATTCTTTCCCACTGCACCAGTCCCGAAGCAGTCCTCCCCACATTCTGGCTTTTTCTCAACTGCACCTGCCCCTAAGAACCTTCAAGGTGGGTAAGCCAGCCCATCTGCCTCAAGGGAAGGAGACTGTAATGTCGATAGAATTGACTTTTGCAAAAGTGAAATGCAGAAGCATCCCCAAAGCCTCACAGAAGCTCTAAGTCCTGGGGCAGCCTCTCCCTCCCCTCCTTCTCCCTGTTCCTCTCCCTCTCCCTCAAGGTACCTGCCCTCTGCTCAGCCCTGCCTGTGGCTTCCTTCTCACTTTTTCTTCTGAACGGGATCCGCAGCTCAGTTTACACTGGTCTCTAAGTGCCACCCAGAGCGGCAGCCCCAGTCCATAAATCCACCCACTCTTCCAGCTCAGCCCCCACAGCCGCCTGCCTGCCTCGGGCATCCTAACCTAATGCTGGCTTTTTGGATAATTTGACTGATCCACTTCAGTAACATTATGAAGCTGTTCCAAGCAGCTGCTATGCCGGGGGCTATGAGAGCCAGTGGGTCTCATTCTAGGGCTACAGAGGGCCAAGTACTCTAGGAAGGGGTGTGAGCCAAGGGGAAATGAGAGTCTTTTTAGTACCCCTCATCCCATCACCCACACCTAGAGCGTCTACACTCCATGCACCACACGGACCACTTAACACATGGACTCTAAACCTGGAGAATCTTCTTATCCAGAGCAGAGAGCTCCCCTACCCAGTGTGTCCAAGCATGTCCGGGAGTGGGCAGCTGGGGCAGCAGGATGCTGGGCTAGTCACCTCCACCACCCTGTTGAGGCTCCAAATCCCAGGGAGACAAACAGATATTTCCTTTGTAAGCCTGAACATGAAAAAGTGGGAAAGCCCTGCCTTAAGGTAGGTTTGTCTTATTCTCCCGTTGGGCAAAAATGATCATGAAAACCCAAAGGAGTTGAGACCATGGACTCAAAGGGCTACGTGCACACCCACATTCGCGGCAACACTCTTCACAACAACCAAAGGTGGAAGCGACCCACGTGCCCATTGACAGATGAATGGATAAAGAAAATGTGGCACAGCCATACAGTGGAATACTATTCCACTTTAAAACGAAAGAAAATCTGAGCCAGGTGTAGTGGCTCACACCCGTAATCCCAGCACTTTGGGAGGTGGAGGCAGGAGAGTCCCTTGAAGCCAAGAGTTCAAGACCAGCATGGGCAGCATAGTGAGGCCCTCTCTTTACAAAAATAAAAACTCAAAAATTAGCTGGACATGGTGGTGCATGCCTGTACCCCTGGTTATTCGAGAGACTGAGGCAAGACGATCCTTTGAGCCCAGGCGTTCGAGGCTGCAATGAGCTTTGAGCACACCACTGCAGTCCAGCCTGGGCAACAAAGCAAGACCCTGTCTCAAAAAAGAAGAAGGAGGAGGAGGGAGAGGAGGAAGAGGAGGAGGAGGAGCAGGAGGAGGAGAAGGAGGAAACTCCGACACATGCTACAATATGTTGAACCTTGAAGACATTATGCTGTGTGAAATAAGCCAGTTACAAAAGGACAAATACTGTCTGATTCCACGTATATGAGGTTCCTAGAGTAGTCAAACTCATAGAGACAGAAGCAGAATGCTGGTTGCCAGTGGCTGGGGAGAGGGTAAATGGAGAGTTATTGTTTAGTGGGCATATAGTTTCAGTTTGCAAAGATGAAAAAAACCTGGTAGCGATTGTTGGACAATGTGAATGTACTTAATGCCACAGAACTGTGCGCTTAAAAATAGTTTAAATGGTAAATTTTATGGCACATGCATTTTGTCGAAATTTTTAAAGGGACTATGAAGGGTAACTTGTATGAAATAAAATGGTTAGAACTCTCTTGCGGTCCTTTGGATACATTCTAAACCTGAGTTGGGGTGTGGGGAGGGGTGGGTTCAGAGATTTCTTTCCAGAAAGAAAAGAGCCACAACCACTAACACCTCCACTCCCCACCGCGCCAGAACGTTTCCAGCACGGGGATGCGCTGCGGCAAACCTAGAAGGAACCCAGAAGCGGAAAATCCTAGATAAGAGTTCCTGCGGATGGAACAGCGGGGCGGCTCGGAGACGCAGGATCCCTCCCTGCTCAGCTGGGGAACTGTCTGCCCTCTAGAGGCGGGTTTGGGTAGCAATTAAAGAATGTTTCTCTTTGGGCTCCTTTAAAAAGGGAAAGTAAAGCCAAGATGGAGGGTACGCGAGAGCACACCGGGTCTTCCGGAAGTTTGCTGCTGATGAAAGGGGCAAAAAGCGCTGGGAAGTCTCTGCTCTCTCCTTTCTTTCAGAATGTGATCGTTTGGAGCCAGAGGGCATGAAGTGACCGGCTGGCCGCCTTGCCACACCAAGTCAGAGCCGTCCCTAAGAACCCACACCTGCTGTACAGACCCTGAGCTCCTGCTCTTCTTGGGCCTTCAAGGATAAAGAGAGGTAGGCAGGAGGAATTCCTGGCCAGAGACTTACCACCCCATGGAACAGATGTGTTTCTAAATCTAGCCGAGGTTGCATAACATGGAATTCTTTATCTTCAATTTTGAAAACAAATGGTTTGTCCTAAAATTAGAATGTGGTGGTGGTTGCACCATTCTGTGAATATACTAAAACTCAATCAACTGTATAATTAGATGAGTGAATTTTATGATGTGTGAATTATATCTCAATAAAGCGGTTTAATAAATAAATGGTTGCCCCACAAGATGATTTTTTTTTTCAGAGATAGGGTCTCACTGTCACCCAGGCTGGAGTGCAGTGGCACTATCTAGGCTTGCTGCAGCCTCAATGTCCTGGGCTCAATCTGCCTGTCTCAGCCTCCCAAGTAGCTGGAACCACGGGCATGCGCCACCATGCCTGGCTAATTTTTTAATTTTTTATAGAGACAAGGTCTTGCTATGTTGCCCAGGCTGGTCTCAAACTCCTGCACTCAAGTGATCTTCCTCCTTGGCCTCCCAAAGCTCTGGGATCACAGGTGTGAGCCACCGAGCCCAACCTCCACACAATGATTTAAAATTTCTTTATGAAAATCTCATAAGCAGAGAGGACATTTGTTGAGTTGTTTGTGTTCTTGACTGCCCAGTACCTGAACCCTGTTTGAAATAGCACCTTGCTCTTGCTGTGGAAGCTGAAGGGAAAAAACAGAATCTCCATTTCGGATCCTCCCACAGCACAGGAGAGGCGAGGAGGGTGTGAACTGGAGCTGGCTGTGAAGCAAGATGCCAGACCCCAAAGAACAGCCGAGAAGGTGGTGCTGACTGGCCAGCTCCTGAGGGCCCTGCGGGGCCTCTGGCCTCTTCCCACCGTAAAGGACTATGGTTCCTGCCCTTTTGCAAACAGATCCTTTGAACTCACAAAGTCCCAACGGGCCTTCCAATCAATTCTCTTTTGTTGAAGACAGCAGGACACCATTTCTGTTGGTTGAGTCCAAGAACTCTCAATATATGTGAGAGAGCTGGGATGTTCAAAGAAAAGCTGAACATTTGTTTATTTGAGGTTTGTTTATTTGTGTGTTTTAACTTTCTGGTACACTGCTTGAAACTGGGCTTATTATGGTCTAGCAGGACTCGTAGGTCAAACTGCTTTAAAGAATGGATAAAAATGGCTTATAAGAAATGCATCAATGACATATACATAAGGAGAGCTTAAAAGCTCCTTGCTCTTCTTAAAATATTTTAAAATAAATTTTTAAAAAATAATATTGTCTCATTCATGTATTTTTGTGCACTCAGCATTGCCAAATTCTTGAGAACATCTTTTTCTTGAGTTAAAATAATGGTAAACCAGCTGGTAAATTTCCTCCAAATTATCAAAAACTTTGGAGTTACTAGAATTATAGGAAATGAGATTTAATGTAAAGACAACTTAATGTGTTATAAGTTTTAGCTCAAGCCTTTTTTTTTTTCTCATACTGAAAAAGGTACATGCTTCCTGTGGAATATTGAGAAATACCTATAAACACACAATCTAGTAGCTGTCATTGTAACTGTAGGAGGGGCAGCAGTAGCCTGTGAGGATATGACAGGGGAGTGATCCCTCTGAGAAGGCCTTGAGGGGGCTCTCAGGCACACGCTCTGGGAAAGAGGTGAGGGCAGGGCATGCCCGTGGGAAGCTAAGTGTACACCCTGCTTAGCTCTATACCTGCTCTTCTATCCCCACAGAAAAGACACTAAGGAGAGGCTCTTGCCAGAAAAAGAAAAAAAAAAAAACATTAGAGGAACTTACAAACCTCCAGAAGGAAATTCCAGGAATCCCCAGAGTTTATTTCTTATTGGGAATAGAAGAGCAGCTGGCCACCTAAGCCTTTCAATGTGTTCAGAATGTATGGTCTGCACGTCATAGGGGGATCTCAGAGACTAGGGAGAGGCAGGCACTGGAACCGCTGTTTCTAAGACCCTCTTCATACCTGCCCATGAAAGTGGGAATGGGGATGGAAGGCCGCACCGGGGAGCACTGGCTGAGACATGACTCAGGGACCCACGCTCCTCCTCCCTGCAGCTCTCCCATCCTCAACGTGCAGCTTTGCAGTGGCGAGCCAGAGAAGCAAGGGGAAGAGGTGGCTCACATCACTGCTCCTCAGATTAGAAAGTGTTTGAACCCTCAGGGTTTAGCTTAAACTCCCAGGCCAGTCTTCACACAGCAAGAGTGGAACAATATGGGGATTTAAAAAAGAAACCCGGCCAGGCGCAGTGGCTCACACCTATATTCCCAGAACTTTGGAAGGCCGAGGCAGGTGGATCATTTGAGGCCAGGAGTTCGAGACCAGCCTGGCCAACATGGTGAAACCCTGTCTCTACTAAAAGTACAAAAGTTAGCCAGGTATGGTGGTGGGTGCCTGTAATCCCAGCTACTCAGGAGGCTGAGACAGGAGAATCGCTTGAACCTGGAAGGCAGAGGTTGCAGTGAGCCGAGATCACGCCACTGCACTCCAGTCTGGGGGACAGAGTGAGACTCTGTCTCAAAAAAATAAAACAAAGTAAAATAAAAAAGAAACCCAGCCAGATGCAGCGGCTCATGCCTGTAATCCCAACAATTTGAGAGGTGGAGGTAGGTGGATCACTTGAGCTCAGGAGTTCAAGACCATCCTGGGCAGCATGGTGAAACCCTGTCTCAATAAATCAATAAATGAAAGAAAACCTATCCATGCATCACGGTGGCACTCTTTTTTGAATTTACACTTGTTTATCAAGGATTAGAGTATAACTTTTTAAACTAATTTTATTTTGTCCTCAGACCACTCTCTTTTGGCACCTTCATTGATGGGGACTATAAACCCCTTCACACCAACTAGATATAGCTATTCCTTCAGTGCTCCTGCTCTCCCTCTGTTATCTGCTTTCATTCGCATGGTGAGAAATTGAATTTCCGGCATATCTTCCTTCTGGAGAGGCTGGGAGTCTAGCACCTTTTCAGGATTTTGCAATTATGCGTGCAGTGTCGGTAGCTTGCTGTATGGTCCCGTCCCATATGTTGAATTTCCTGAAAGACACCATGTGTGAGTATATGTGTGCATTTGCCACATTTACTGTGTTGTTTTTTATTATTATCTCTTTCCCACCAATTAGACTTTTGCTATTTGTTTAAATAAATGATCCCTGTAAACTAATCACCATATAATAATTACTACCTCTTTTAAATGATATCATATAGAACTAGACATATAATCATCAAGGTGCAATCTGGTGACTTTCTTCATTCCCCTATTGCAAACAGTTACCTCTTAGAGTGACCCTGGTGTTTTTCTCCAAAGCTTAATTTAAAAAATTCAAATCTTACCATTAGCATCACTTTAAAGTCCAAAGTACATTTGGACATTTAACTGCCCCCGCTAGATTTGACTCCCCTAAGGCCATGATTGCATCACAGGTTTTATGAGTTACTTTCTTTTTTTTTTTTTTTTTTTGAGACGGAGTCTCGCTCTGTCGCCCAGGGTGGAGTGCAGTGTTTGGATCTCAGCTCACTGCAAGCTCCGCCCCCCAGGTTTACGCCATTGTCCTGCCTCAGCCTCCCGAGTAGCTGGGACTACAGGCGCCCGCCACCACACCCGGCTAGTTTTTTGTATTTTTTTAGTAGAGACGGGGTTTCACTTTGTTAGCCAGGATGGTCTCGATCTCCTGACCTCGTGATCCGCCCGTCTCGGCCTCCCAAAGTGCTGGGATTACAGGCTTGAGCCACTGCGCCCGGCCTATGGGTTACTTTTATCTAAATTTTATCTCAATTTTCAGATAGCATTTAATTTCCTTTTTAGCTGAAAGAAAGTGCTTTCACACAGCCAGACAAAGCCCCATCAGCTCCCCATGGACCCAGTGACTCGCCTCTCATCCTCTGCAGCGTTGACTGTGGGTCGTGCACACTTGTCCATATTTCTAAATCCTAGGTTGACAGATAATGTACTCAGCCACCCTCACTCCCTGAACAATCAGAAATGGAGGTTTGGCCAGGCACATGGCTCTTGCCTGTAATCCCAGCACTTTGGGAGGCCAAGGAAGGTCCAGGAGATTGAGGCTGCAGTGAGCTAAGATTGTGCCACTGCACTCTATCTTGGCGACAGAGTGAAACTCTGAAAAAGAAAGAGAAAGAGAACAGTGCATAGTCCTTTCATTTACAATGAATTTTCAACGCCAAAAATATATAATATGATCTCACACCTGTATGAATTCAACACACACTGATGCCCACTCTATCATCTATGTGTTTCTAGAACTTAGTCTCTTTCCCTTCATTGATAATCTTTGTTTTCAAATTCTTAAAAATAAAAATCTCTCCAGGTTCAGGTGCAGAGGTATGGCAGAACAGTGTAACGGTTAATAAAATGAAATTTGCAAGCAGATAGAACTGGATTCAAATCCCAGCTCTACCATTTATAGTTTTATCTCCTTGGTCAAGTCATTTGACATCTGAGTCTCAGTTTCCTCACCTGTAATATGAGACTACTAATCATCTCTGCCTTACAAGGTTGTCAAAGTAAAGCAAAGTAATACATATAGACGCTTAGCACAATCCCTAGACATCAGTAGTTACTCAATGAATGATAGCATTTACATCATGATCACCAGCATCATCATCATGGCTGGGCTGCCAAGCTTGAGCAAGAGCGCCTCAGCCAGGGTTGTGGCTGTATTTCCCTGGTTCTCATTCTACAATATGTCTTCCACTCTCCTTCTTTCCCTCTCTCCCGCTCTCTACTTTGTCTACTCCCATCACATGGGGATGCCCATCCGTTTCCATCCAAGGCCACCTTCACCCTCATTTTCATGCAGTTTTGTGTCTTTAATTTTTACCTCTTTGAAAATCTTCTCTGCCAAACTTCAAATCTGAGTTTTTCACTATCTTACAGACATTTCTCCCAATGTGTCCTAGCAACCCCTCCATCCTAACATGTCCAAAACTAAACACACAATTATCTCACTCAAAAACCTATTCCTTCTTCATAACCTATTGATGTGAATTGGCATCATGATTATCTTATTTTCCCCAGCATAAAATCTTAATACTGGTCTTTAACTTCTTCCTCACTCCTACACTAGCAATCACTGTGCCATACACGCCAAGACAGTTACATTATGACTCCAAAGCATCTTTAGAAGCCTCTGCTCCACCACCACATTACTTTATACCCCAGGACACACCACCTAGGGCATAGTCAGAATCTCCTGATCATTCTCTACACCCTGTTGAGCTGGGATTGCTTCACTATCTTACACAAAGATCTTCAGTAGCTTCCTGTACTTTATTAAATAAACCTTCATTCCCTACCCTGGTCTCAAGGCCCTCCATAATTTGGCAGTCGGTGACCTTTCCAACTCATCTGTCACTGCAACTACCACTGTCTCCTGACCTCCAACCACATAGGACTGTTTACTATTCCTCTAATATGTCCTATCCTCTCTTGTCTTGGTAATATGGTTCATTCCACATGGGATCCTTCCTCCCCTTCCCTCTCTTTCTGCCTAACCAAACCCTACGTGTCCTGAAATATCTACTTTACATGTTTCCTCTTTAATGAAAGCTTCCTCATTCTCCCCACAAGAATTAATATCCTTACTTGGTGACACTCCCCACTGCCACAATTTCTCTGTCTCTTCTGCCTTACACTAGAGTGAAGACTTACCTCCCCTTCTAGATGTAAATATCCTTGAAAGGAAAGAAAATCTTGCTTTGTGCTCCTTATTCTATTACCCTAGGCACGCAGCAGAATCCCATACAGTAAAATATAAATGTTTATTGACTTTTTTAAACTTTTAAAGTAATTAAACATAATTTGTAACAGAGTTGTAGTCCTGTCAACTCTCCCTGACATTGAAAAGTGAGCTTCTTGGGTATCAGCTACGGCCCATCATCAACCATCATAGAATCCTCCCAGGATCCTGTCAAATCATGATTCGGGTTACCTGTCGCATCCAAAATGATCCCAGTATTTTGCCCCAAAATACTAAGATTCATGAAAGTGCTATCAAATAACTATCTTTTAAAAATGAAAAATAACAAATGTGGGTAAGGATGTGAAAAAATTGGAACACTTGTAAATTGCTGATAGGAATGTAACTTGGTGCAGCCACTGTGGAAAAGCTATGAACTTTGTCAAAAAGCTAAATGCAGAATTACAATATGACCTAGCAATTCCACTCCTAAATGTGTACCCAGAGGAATTGAAAACAGGGATTCAAACATACTTGTACACCAATTTCATTGCAGCATTATTCACAATAGCCAAAAACTAGGAACAATCTCAGTGTTCATCAACAGAAGAATGAATAAATCAAATGTGATCTATACAAACAATGGAATATTATTCAACCATAAAAACAGATGAAGTTCTAATACATACTACAACACGATGCATCTTGAAAACATTATGCTAGGTGACATATTGTCTGATTCCACTTATGGAAGTAACTAGAATGTCAGATACCCCTGGACTTTCTGTCATAGTGACTGAAAGGAGATTAAAGGTTACCAGGACCCTGAGGGAGCGGGGAACGGGAATCATTGCTTACTGCGTAGAGAATTTCTGTTTGGGATGAAAATGTTTAGAAACAGATAGTGGCAAGAGTTATATAACAGTGTGAATGTAATTAATGCCACTGAACTGTACAGTTAAAAGTGGTTAACATGACAAATTTATATCTATTTTGCCACAATTACAAAAAAAAAAAAAAAAGCATGAGCTATTAGTAAAGACAGGTTAAAAAATAAATTGTGATAAGTACTGTGAAGGTTATGTATACAA